TTTTCTTTTTTCTTTTTCTTTTTCTTTTTTTTTTTTCCTTATTGAACGTGGCCACCGTATGATCGTACGGAAGGAAAAACATTTTCCCCATTTGTCATTTTAATTTTGTTATCTGCTTCAATTTTTCTGTAAAAACATTTACGTGTCATTTGAAGTTCGCGCGCTTGTATGCCTCGCTTTACCCGAGCGTGTCCCCCGCGCGCATGTTATTATAAACTAACACGGACGTGCGTTCTGCGGTACATTTGGTTTTAGTACGTGTCCGTGTGGTTGTACATGGCCGCCCATGTGGCAACGTATCGCGCCGCTGCCCCTGTAAAGTGAAGAAAACCGTCCATATAAAAAAGGAGGAGAAGAAAGAAAAATGCATCGCCAATTCATGCTCGCACGCTTATAAACGGAACTTAGCACATTCAACTCACGGATGACAGAAGAGCGCACCGTGGTAACGTACCACGCCGGCCCACATGAGTGAAGCTGTCAGTTGTGTACATGTGAATGAGTATGCCTTTGGAGCCAGTCATTGAGTCAGTCATTGCGCCAGCCAGTTAGTCAATTTTGTAATAAATAACAGTTGTTTTGTTCTGTTCTGTTCGTTTTTTTTTTTTTTTTTCCCTTCTGTGGCGTCAAAGGGTCGTTAAGCAGTCGCCTGAACGGGTCGTTACATGGTCGCATGTAGTCGTTTATCCCCGTGTGCACATGAGTGACACGCGTGGGTGCGCTCCGCAGCCGTGAGTGTACACGCAGAGGAAGAAGCAACATCGAGGACAACGCCACAGATGCACAGGGACAGGCGTCGTACCCGTTGATTGGGATGCTCATGGAGAGAGAAGCAACACCGGAGGGAGACTCGACGAAGAGGGGAAGAAGCCCTTTATTTATTTATTCATTTTTCACCCTCGCACGAGGTGGACCTTATCGCCCCTCCCTTTTTTTTAAAGTAATTGCTTCGAAGAAGGGGAAAGCGACAAAAGGAACTGTGCATGAAGGAGAGAATTTGCTCGAAAGTTAGACCATCCTAGGGAAGGCCTCTCCTGTGTGCCGACACATCTCGCGCGCCTTCTATTCCGCCCCCTACACGCACACGCATACCCACACGCATACACCTTGTTGATGCACCGATAAGTCGCGCACGATGGATATTCACCTGCAAGAAAATCAAACGGGGATCCGGTTCAGTTGGAACCTATGGCCCCCTACGAAAAATGAGGCCTCGAAAATTGAGGTGCCTTTGGGCTGCCTGTACACAGTCCTGAAGAGAACGGACGACAACAGCGTCAAGCTAGTGGAGTACGAGCCACTCAAATGTAAAACAAGCAACTGCATTTTGAATCCCTACTGCAACATAGACTTTCGAAACAAGACATGGACGTGCCCCTTTTCAAATATAAAGAACCCCTTCCCCCTGCACTACGCGGAGCACATCTCGGAGAAGGTAGGCGAGGAAGGCGCGGCGATGTGACTCATGCCTATGCCGCCATGTGAAGCGTGTTCGTGCGTCGATTTTGTGTGAGAGCGTCTTCGTCCTTCATGTGCATCTTCTGCACGTTGTGTAGTCACGTGACCACCCCGCTTAATGTACTTGTTCCCCCCCCCCCCCTGTAGAACCTGCCCGCGGACGTGATGTACTCCAACATCGAGTACATACAGCCATCGAACGTGGGGGACATCCCGCCGCCGACGTTCCTGTTCGTGATTGACACGTGTCTCCTGGAGGAGGAGTTAGAGCAGCTGAAGGATTCCATTCAGCAGTGCATAAGCTTGATGCCACCAGATGCGCACATCGGCATAATTACCTTTGGTAATATGTGTTACGTGCATGAGATAGGGTTCAAGGATTGTCTAAAGTCGTATGTGTTTAAGGGGACAAAACATATCACAGCACAAGATTTACAAAAGCAATTAAATTTGGGTACACGAAATGATCCCCGCAGCTCTACCACATCTGCATCTGCAAGAAGGTTTCTACAACCAGTTAGTGAATGTGAATATAATATTAATATGTTGTTGGAGGATATACAAAAGGATAATTGGCCTACTCCTCCCGATCAAAGAGCAAAGAGGTGCACAGGGGTAGCACTGAGTGTGGCAATAGGTTTGTTAGAATGCTGTTGCAACCAGTTGAGTGGAAGAGTAATGATGTTCATAGGAGGAGCAGATACGACTTCGCCCGGGAAAATTGTAGACACGCCATTATGTGAATCGTTAAGGCACCACTTAGATTTACAAAAGGAAAATAGCAACGCGCGGCATGTGAAGAAGGCATTAAAATATTATGTGTCGTTAGCTAATAGGGCTGTGGCATCTGGTCATGCGATTGACATTTTTGCATGTTCATTAGATCAAATAGGTTTATATGAAATGAAAGTGTGTTGTGAAAAGACAAATGGGTATATGGTAATGGCTGATTCGTTTTCCATGAATGTATTTAAAGATTCATTTAAAAAAATATTCGAGACAGATGCTAATGGATACATCAAGCATGGTTACAATGCAAAATTAACAATAATATGTTCAAAAGAATTTCGAGTTTGTGGTGCCATCGGTGCATGTTCAAGTAATAAAAAAATGGCTAACTACGTATCGGATACATGTGTAGGTGAAGGAGGTACTTGTGAATGGACCATATGTGCATTAGACCGACAATCTACCCTAGCTTTCTATTTTGAAATTGTGAATCAAAACATTTCAGCTCTTCCTCCTGACAGACAAGCCTACTTGCAATTCCAGACTCTGTACCAGCATCCTAGTGGACGAAGGCGATTACGAGTTACAACCATTTCCTACCGATTTGCAGAAGCTAATATTGCTGAAATATCGCAAGGGTTTGACCAAGAAACAGCTGCTGTGATAATGGCTAGATTTGCGGTTCTAAAAGCTGAAACGGATGAACCCATAGATGTGTTGAGGTGGTTAGACAGGAAACTGATCAGGTTAGTTAGTACATTTGCAGATTACCAAAAGGACGATGTGAATTCATTTCATTTATCCCCTGAATTTTCCATTTACCCACAATTCATGTACCATCTGAGGAGGTCTCATTTTTTACAAACTTTTAATGCTAGCCCAGATGAAACAGCCTACTACCGGTCCATTCTTCTTCGTGAAAACGCCATGAATTCTCTAATCATGATACAACCCGCTTTGCTTCAGTACTCCTTTGAATCACACACCCCTGTACCTGTCCTGCTCGATGCACAATCGTTGAAGAGTAATGTGATCCTACTGCTAGATTCTTATTTTCATATCGTTGTGTGGTATGGTGAAATGATATACCAGTGGAGAGAACAGGGCTTTCACGAGAAGCCGGAGTATGAACACTTTAGCCAGTTACTTAATGCACCCCATGAAGATGCCAAGTCCATTTTGGAGGACCGATTTCCTATCCCTAAATTTGTTTTGTGTAACAGTGGAGGTAGCCAGAGCCGCTTTCTGCTAGCCAAGGTGAACCCCTCCACGACGCACAACTCGCTCAGTGGCAGCACCTTCGGCACGTCCAACAGCGAGTCATACATTATCAACACGGACGACGTGTCGCTCAAAATTTTTATGGACCACCTGGTCAAGCTCGCCGTGCAGACGTGACGGAGGGGGCGTGCCAAAGCGGACGCGACTCGCACACGGCGCTACAAAAAAAAAAAAAAGCGATGTATGTTTGTACACACCTCTTATGTGTGCGCCATGGTGGAACGTTTCCCCCCCACCGTGCAACATTTTTTTTTTTTCGAACCGTGTTGAATTGGAAACAGAGCACCAAAAAAAGGAAAGAAAAAAAAAGTTTATTCAAATTTGTGTGCAAATTGTAAAAAAAAAAAAAAATATTTTGATTTCATGACAGGATCAAGTGAAGCTGCAGTGGGGATGCGTGGAAGTCGCCCCCTTCGATCATGTACGACACGGCCACGTAAAAACGCATCCCGCTTTTTCAGTGGTGTGCCGCCCCGCGTAGTCATAACTACTACGCATTCTGAAACTTTTTAAATCATCTCCAATTTTTTTTTTTGCATACACAAAAGGGGGTCTACGTCTTTTTGTCCTTTCGTTTCGTCGCGTTTCTTTTTTTTTTCTTCTTTTTCTCTTCCATTTTTTTTTTTTTTTTTTGCTTTTATTAAACGTCCAATTAAGTAACTCTTCGATCCACATCGCGTTGCGCGTCTTTTAAAAGCCTCAAGCGGGTTAAGGCGGTTCGGGGGGAGGGGCATCTCCTCTGGGGTGTCTCCCCTTATATAACATATTTCCCCTCCGCAGCGTTGCTGGGTTTGTTGCTGTCCTTGTCGCTGGGTGCGTTGCTGTCCTCGTCGCTAGCCTTGTCGCTGACTTCGTCCGAGGAGGAGCCTGGGGAGGGCCCCGTCGCATGGTGGTCGGTCCGGGACGGGCGCTTCGAGCCAACGACTCCAGTGATGAAGAAGGCCCACTTGTCACGCTCGCTGATGAGCAAATGGATAACGTACAAGGCAGAAATGAACGCAAGGGTACAAGTAAACATAATGTAAAAAATATTCGTCGTAGAGGATTCATTGGACTTGGAGCAAAAGAGGTACTGAAAGGTAGGTGAGCGACAATCAAATGTCATGGCCAGGTAAGTGTTAATTGCAACTTCTTTCTTCCTAATGGTAACAGAATTATCACAACTCACCATGAAAAAGTCGGCAGTTATTACGTTAAGTGTGGGATGCTTAGCGCAGTGCCGATCAAAGGACTCCTTCCAGTAATCACTTTTGTATATGTCTTTGAAGTAACATGGAGTGTGATAAGCAGGACAGGCACAGGATTTTATCTTTTCATTGTACTCTTTTAAATGTTCGAATTGGCCCATGTCTGTGACGATGCATTCAGTTAGAACCTCCGAATCATTATGCACAAAATTTTCATTTATAACATCTGCATCTGGTTGATTCAAATCATTTAGCATGTTTGCCTTTTGTATTTCATTGAGTGGTATTACAAAAGGCGGGTTATATATTTGCTCCGTGGTGGGGTTGTCAGGAGAAGGATTACTCTGAGGAGAGTTGTTGGTGGGTTCATGAATAGAAGAACAAAGAGGAACGTCATCATCACAGTATTCTACATCTAATAATTTATTTTTCCCATTTACGACAATGTTGCATGCTTTACCCGAATACTTCACTTGTTTAACCAAATATCTTTTTCTGCTTCGAATTGCTTCCGTGTCGTAGGTGCCCTCTTTACAAGTCCTTGAGCAGGTGCTCCAATCGGACCACTCACTGAATTCACATGGAATGTGTTTATGTTTACACAGAACAAGTCCCCTGTTTGTGGGGTCGACATAAGAACAGCTCTCCTGAAACATTTTAAAAACTCTATTAAAAATTTCCGTTGTGAAATGATTTATTTCGTAGTACTTGATGCACATTTCGAACGAGTAGAATTGGGAGTTGTTCGAGTTACATAACACCTTAATGTCTTCACATAACTCAGCACACGATGCTTCTGCTCCGACTCCGTCCTGCCTCCTGCCGTTTTTATTCCTCACCGTGTCACAATGGAGGTAGTTGTAAAAATGCTTGTTGTCCCAGGCAGGCAAACCGCTTTTACAATAATTATATAGATCCATGTGATTAATTTTCTCCTCTGTACTCTCCACATTTGAACATTTTATTATGGAGTGATGCTGTAAGGCGATGAATAGGTTGTGTTTATTTCCCCTTTCATTGAGTTCACATATTTCTGTCCGCATCAATTGGTTTATGAATTTAGAATTGCTTACGTCTTCCATGGAACATGGCTCTGTGTTTTCTTCACTGCAGTAGCAGGAGTTGTGTTGAGGGTCTACCCACCTCGCCACGTCATCCGGCTTCACACCCGTATTTTCCTTCGCCTTGTCTACGAAGCATTTGAAATATTGGCTCGTGTCTTCCCCGCCGTGTGCAGCATCCTTGGCGTCATCCCCCTCTTGTAGTGACCTCTCTCCCCTGCTGCTCCCCTTCAGTGGGGCTTCCCACGTGACACCCATCATCCATGCCGACCTTGTCCACTCTACATTATCATCACTGGGGGGTGCACTTCCTTCCCGGTGAGGAACCTCCAGAGTGCACTCTTCCTCCCCGCCTAAACGTTTTTCCGCTACAATCGTTGCGCAGCGAGGGAGGGGTGACATCAGCAGGGGGAGCAGCAGAGTATAGAAGAGGAGCAGTCTGTTATTCATTTTGTAGAGAAAGACAACCAGGTGTTGAATTCAGGTAGGTATGGAGAGACAATAAGAACAGTTCTACTGCTCATTTGAGCATGGACACACACCTCCCACCCCCTGTGCTCAGTTCACGTGCAAGGACAACTTGTATAGGACGTAGGTAGGTGGGGGACATTTCTTTACAAGCGAAGAGTTCCCTTACCCTCTCACACATGCTAACTCGTTTTCTCGAGTAAAAAAAACATTTTTCACTGCGAGTCCATATACGTTGTAAGCATAAACTGGTGGTCTTTTTTTTTTTTTTTTTTTTTTTTTTTTTTTTTTTGTGTCTTTATAAATATATATGGTGGATATTTTAGTCATAACCAGAATTAGCATTTGCCATTTTTTTTTTTTTTTTTTTTTTTTTGCAACTGCTGCATGCGTACTGTTGCGTTTTTTTTTTTTTTTTTTTACAACTGCATAACATTTGAGTCGCTTTTTCGTTCAGTTAAAAGTTGCTACCCCATTTGAGACAGAACAACAGCTCAAGTGCGGTGGTGGTGGGCCCACGTGCATAAGGGTTTTTTATTTTTGCTTAGGCTCACAGTGTGCATGCGGGGATGATCCCCCCCCGGAAGGAAAAACGGGCGAGTGACCCGTCTGGCAACAAGCACAGGTGTCTCTCCATTATTATCGCATGGTAGGTATGGAGAGGTGGCGATGGGTAGGAGATTTTAAAACAAAACAAATACGTCGCAGTAGAGGGGTGGTAGCAACCGGACCTATAACCAAGTAGGACGCACTTTTTCCCCCCCCCCTTCATGTGAGTCTTCCTGTGTGAAACTCCAAGCAACTGTCTTATTCGACCTTAATTGGATGCAGGAGGACGCGGGGCCTTTCCTATTCCCACTTCGAGGAAATTGCCGCGGACAAATGCGGGAAGCAAATCATTATGTGATATGTACACAAAAATGGGGGGGGGGGGTCCTTTTTATAACGACTTGTGCATTTGCGTCTAGCTAATGGGGGCTTTTTCCGTTGCAGCACCCCGCACCTCCATAACCCACTGGTGAAGCTGCTCCACATCACATGTACACAAATGGCCTCAATACATTTTTTTAATTTTTATTCCTTTCCCAATGGGGTAATCTCGCTTCACCACTTATTGAAGGTTCCTCCTTCGTCACTCTGACCAAAAAAAAAAAAAAATGATCTGAGTGATTATTTACTCATGTGCCCATCTGACATTTTACTCCTGCAGGTGACACGTGCAAGTCGCTCAACAACGGTTACATGTTTGTCGCTTTCCTTTTTTTTTTTTTTTTTTTTTTTTGGTGAAATTATGTGAAAGGCACGACGTGGGCGCACAACATTTGGAGGGAAATTTTTTTCTGCCCCAAGATCGCTTCGTGCATAACTGCGGGAATGCCACAAAATGGAGCCGTAAAATAAAAAGCGCACCGCGGCGAGTGCCGCTACAGCGACTGTGGTAGGGGCGTCAACAAGCTCATTAAAAAAAAAGAACGGCACTGCGAGGTAAGTGAAAAAAAAAAAAAAAAAAAAAAAAAAAAAAAAAAAATTCCCAGCCGATTATGTAACCCCCTTGAAGTGAATAAATTTTCCCGTCGGCCTGCCCGCGAAAGGCTAACCCAGTTGAAACTGGAGTCGCCCAGCCAAAAGGGGAAAAATAAATAAAAATAAATACAAACAAGAGCTTACATTGACGGGTACGCCTATGTATATGACATACGGGACGGATCCACGAGCACGTCGCACCACGCGCGTAGAATGAGGTGGCTGGAAGGAACGAAGAAGTAGCAGGCCATTTGGGGGACAGGACGCCACCACCCCTTCAAGTCAACACCGCGCCGCTGTGCCATCGCGTTACCCACCGGTTCCCCTGCAGCATGGAAATAGTGCAGGCGCAGCCGCACGAATTGGTGGCCGAGGAAAGGGAAGGAGGAGGGGTGCGGCCTGGCCCGGGCCCAGGAGGAGGTGAGAGAAAAACGGGGCTCTACTTCCCCAACATGTTGATAAGCAGTCACAAGGGGGAAGTGTACTCGGTGAATTTTTCATCGGATGGAAAATTCCTCACGTCAGCCAGCTTCGATATGACCATAATGGTACACAGTGTATACAACGAGTGTGAAACTTTGAGCGTGTTGAGGGGACATAAGAATGCCGTTTTGCAAGCCAAGTGGTGCCGAGACGATACACACATATGTAGCGCATCTGCCGACTTCAATGCGTTCTTGTGGGATGTAGAAAATGAAGAGAAAGTCAGAAGTTTTAAAGGACACACTAGCATCGTCAACGGCTTAGATGTAATTAATTATAATTTGTTTGCTACCTGTAGTGATGATTCTACTGTGAAAGTTTGGGACTTTAGATGCAAAAAATGGGTTCATACAATTTCATATGATTATCCCTTTTTAGCTATCTGCTCAGACAAAAAAGGGGAATCTTTTTACGTGTCTTCTGCAGACGATAAAATAAGCAAGTATAGTGTTACCAGTGCAGAGTTAGAGGATACTTTTTCAGGCCACAAGCATTACATAAGTGGTCTAGCTGTAAACAACGAAGAGACTGTCTTGGCATCCCTCAGTGCAGATGAGACGATCTGCTTGTGGGACATTCAACCTTTCCCCTGTGACGACAAACTCTTGTTTCAACTACCAGCACCCAAGTTTAACATCGATTACAATTTAATTAAATTGTCCTTCAATAATGACAGCTTGCTTGCCTGTGGCAGCGGAGACAACCACCTGTACGTTTATGATTATAAACAGAAGATGCTCAAGTATACCTTGCCTGGTCATACGAGCACGATAAACGACGTTGCCTTTCATCCCTATGAGGAGATTGTGGTGTCCTGCTCGTCGGACAAGACGATTTTCCTCGGCGAGTTGTGAGGGGGGAAGACACACGCATTAGTGCGCAGCGCTATGTCTGCCTCCACATCCTGCACACCCTGCACGCAAAATAAACTGTGCAGTAACTTTTTTTTTTTTTTTTTTTTCCTTTTTTTTAAGGACTCCAAAAAACGGGGTTACATATATTTTGTTGGATGAGCGATATGGGTTACAAACTTTTTTTTTTTTTAAGAAAATTTACAGTTAATGGGTTATAATGTTGTTTTTTTTTTTTTTTTTATAACTCTCACAAAAGTGCAACATGGACAAATGGGCCGCCCACGCGTAGGGGTGACTCGTTAAATGTGTAGAAGAAGCTCTGGGAAATAATAAAAAAAAAAAAAATGATAATAATAAAAAACACGTGGGAAGGATGCACGGCTTGGCAAACACAGGGTATCACGCGCTGATTCGCGGTTCCAGCGACACCTCCCTGCACTCATGTTGCTACTCGCAAGGCTACTCACCATGCTACTCACCATGCTACTCACCATGCTACTCACCATGCTACTCACCATGCTACTCACCGTGCTACTCACCATGCCACGCGTGTGGGTACCCCTCACTTGATGATAATTTCTACGAGGTTCTCCCTGTCCGAGTAACACAGGTTGTACTTGCGCAGGCCAAGGAAGTTATACATGAACGAATTAAACTGTGTGCAGAGTCGCATGATGAGTTTGCAGGGCGCATATTTTTCTGTTACGAGGAAATGTCCCAGTTGGAGGAGCCCCTTGCTCATATTTTCATAGGACAAGTCATTAATGTAGTCAATTTCGTAAAATAATTTGTCCTTGGCATTAAAATATAAATTGTCCTTAACGTGCACATAAGCATTGTCATTAAAGTCGAAGAAGATATTTTTCTTTTGGTCATAAATGATATCGCTTTCCATTCCTTCACTGCCTGCCATAACACACTTCAAATGTTTCAGTCTGTTTTCCCTCTGTGGGAAGCATGGAATATTTACCTGCTCTTCGTCCACATCACCATCCCCGCATGTATCACCGTATCCCTCTTCACCCCCCGCTTCTCCGTTGCATGTATTTTCCCCCTCCTCGGAGTTTCCATGCGCAGTGTGCATCATTGCAGAACCACTATTACTATGATCCCTCTGCAAGTTGGCACCAGAACCAGAAGTTTTAAAAAGTGATGGCAGACGCATGTCCGCTAGGTTGAGCGAATTGGTTTGTTCAAAAGAATTGATCTCAATATTGCCATAATCGAAGAGAGAAGCAGCACTCCGGGACAGATCATTTGATCCCATGTACCTGCTACTATTACAATCAATTGTGCATGCTCTAAAGTAATGGTCGAAAAACTCCTTGTTCACTTTAATCTTTTTCTTTACAGACTCAACTCTCTTCTTATAACATGTGTCTAACAGCCCCACGTACTTCTTATGGTTGAAGGCAATGTATTTGTTATGATTATTCCAGCTCAGTTTTGCTCTATTTTTGGAGTACACATTTTTTAAATTACGAATGTTCTTTGCAGCTAGTTTTACAAAATTATTATTCATGAGCTGTTCATTACAGTTGGCGTTTTGTGTGTACTGTTCCTTTTGCTCATGCAGCGATTTCTTCACCTCCTCGATGTATTGGTTCACATATTTTGTGTAGGCTTCTCCTAGGATGTTATAATTTTGACCCAAGCACTGTGCGCTCAACAGCCCCTCTGCGTCTAGGCGTTCCTTCAGCTGCTCCACGTTCATGTGCTCCGCCACGCTTCGTATGTTGACGCGCTTCGCCATGCCCGCCAGGTTCACGTGCTTTCGCACATTTTCCAAGTTCACGTGTTTTCGCACATTTTCCAAGTTCACGTGCTTTCGCACATTTTCCAAGTTCACGTGTTTTCGCAC